GTGAGCTGTTTAAATCAAGGAGAAACATTCGATCAAGGAATAATTCATAGTATACAACTATTCAAATATTTTGTTGAATTCGAAGCGATGATATGCAGTTGATTATATCATTGAGGAACAATCGATCATCGAAGAATTTATAAGAAACAACTATTCAAATATTTCGTTTAATTGGAAACCAAAACGTGGAATTGATTATGTTATTGAAGAACGTAAAATCGAGGAAGAATTGGTAGGACACAACTGTTCAAATATTTTTGTCAATTCGCACCAAAGATGTAGAGTCGATGACATTATCGAAGAACACTTGATCAAAGAATAATTCATAATAAAGAACTATGCAAATATTTCGTTCAATCCGAAATCAAAATAGGAAGTCAGTTGTATCATCGAGAGACGCCTGATCAAGGAATAATTCGGATCAAAAAGCTATTCAAATATTTTGTTCAATTCGAAGCAAAGATTTGAAGTTTATCACATGACGGTTGCTGAGGTGTAAAGCTTTGTGGTAAACGAATAAATTGTACGTTTGTTTGGCACGTGACGCAGCAAGCGCTTAGCGTTGATATCCCCAAGTGGAGCTGCTTGCACCGTATACACTGTTGTCATTAATACCAAAATGACTATAAACAAAACCATTTTGTTGCTTTGCTTCATTACTAGCTGTTGCTTTTGGATGTTTGAGAAGACAGTGATAGATATATGTAAAAAGGTATTCAAATGATATTGTTGTACAGTTTTGTTCTAACTTTATATACTCATTGACTGCCTAGCAAGGAGAAATTTACAAAAATATAGTTTCTTTTTATAGATGGTGAGAGAGATAGGTTTATTTTTGGCTTACAGAGTGATTTTTTTGTCGTAGGCATAGGTGAATATTGCTATTAATGTAGAGAAAAATTAGTATATATATTTTCATAGTGACGTCTTTCTATGCATATGAAACCTTTTGCCCTATATGCATTCAAATAGTCCTTTTGTCTTTTTTTTCTGTTCTCATGTGACTATCAATGATAAAAAAGAATCGTTTAATTAACGATTATACGTCTATCACATTTATTCAGCCGTGATGCATTTTTTTATTTTGTCCAAATCAAAAAGAAGGTGTCTGATTCATTATCTCAAAGAGAGGAGCTAGAGAGAGAAAAACATATTAACGTGACGAGTCTCTGCAAAGATTAAATTCATATTGATCATGAGAAGATAATAGCATAGAAATTATATGATGAAAGAGGCAAAGCAAAAATGACACATTATTAAAATGAAAAGTATGATATGTATGATACAAAGGAAAGCAAGAAGAGACGAAAATTTATTTTTTTTTGTCTCTCGCGCTCTCTTTTGATTTCTCACTATTACTAGCACATGTGCTATTAAACGCACAGCATAAACATTGAACCAATCGAAAAACAAACTGATCTGTGTATGAAAAATACTAATCAATGTTGTAGCCTTCACTTTTGCTCTGTAGTAATCTACTTGCTGAAATAAAATTAATTTGTTTTTAGTAATTACGTTATAAGAATCATTAAAGAACGACGTAAAGTTAATTTGATGGTGCATTTCATGTTATTTATACTCAACTGGAAAAACTCGCATCATTTGAAAGAAAAACAAGTGTATCTTGGTTATTTTCCAGTCATTTTGCATCAGAAAAAATATTTTTTAAAATTCACAGATAGCTTCAAGTATTCTCTATCGAATTATGTAAAAATCTTCCAAAAAATTGATATTTTGAATAACGTTTTTACAAAAATGCTGAATGCCTTATCAAAGTAATTCGAATTATCCCAGTCAGGATAAGTCAGATCATTCCAGTAAAAATGACTAGGATTTCACTTTTCTAACTTCGTGTTCACTATCGGTAATTTACAATTAAATGAAATATATATAACTTGATAGCTCAAAGTCTCTTCTATGCAGTCGACGATGTGCTCGTCAATCGGTCAAACTACTGCATTGTAATTCTTAAAACACTGCAAGCAAGTGAATTCTGTAATTCTTTTAAAGAATGATCTGACTTAATTCGGATCACTCGAGTAAGTTCTGCTAAAGATAACTTTGAAAACTCGTTTGACTTCTCCCATATATTGTCAAGTATTGATGTTGAAAGAAAAGTTGTTCTTCTTGCTTTGCTCTATCTCTCTACGCAAATGAGAAAAAAAACAATCTAGTTTAACTAAAAATCATGTCAAGTAAATAAACAACTGACAAGAGTATTGTTTTTTCGATTCATTTAACAATACTATCGAAAGTCGCTCGGTTAAATAAAAACTCGGTATGTTCGCTTACAATTAAAAAAAAACATTTGTTGATAATGCTAAATGAAACAGTAAAGATATACGAAAAAATTTTTGTTAAATTACTTTCCGGACACCCTGTAGATATGGATAGAACGATTCATCATATCCATCTCACTTACAACATCCATTATACTCACAAAATCCTATATCCACACTCTTGAATTTTCACGACCTTGCTGGAAAGTGATAATGTCTTTTATAAGCATTCAGATACAAAAAATGCTCAAATAGGCTAGTCAGATATGTAAAAAATAGTCTATGATGGTTATTGAGATTCTTCCAGAGTACATTTTGACTGATAAATCTTTATTTGATGGATCCAAATGATTTCCTTGGTTTTTGTGGATTGTTGAGGAAGATTAATTAATACTGATAAATTATAGTGGATCCTGGTAGGCCCTAGAATCCATCAGAATCCGTTTTTTTCTTCCTTTGTATATATACAAGATGGCTAAAAATATTGTTCAGTATTTTGAATAGTTTTTCTGCATTTGAAGCATTTATTTTTTTATCAAATTCTAAGAAAAAGAACAGAGCAAAGAGAAAAACGTTCTGAGTACATATGCTGTATGAAACTTTTGTATCATAGCCAGCAGAGCAGTATGGAAGTCTACTGATACGAGAGATGGTTTAGTCTACAATGGTGTAATAATCTAACGTAACATAAGAAATCTTTTCAATATGTGCAGAATATAGATAAACGATAAAGTGCAAATATTCAAGGTAAGAAATCCATTTAACTGATGAATGTATTTTTTTAATATTCAGAATGATGTCTACATTAATTAATATTGTCATTTACTACAGAAGTATTGTGTTATATAGAAGGTTTATTATAATAGACATCCCAAACGGATTTGACTGGAACATGATATGAAGGTGGTATGTAATCATGATTATAACCGAATGCACTGGGTCCCACATATTTGAGAGCTTCTTGTGTAGTCATTGCCTCAGGTGCTGGCAGCACGAGCACTGAGATACGACATCCGTATTTGACAGTTTCTGTAGACAACGGTTCGCCCGAGTCCTGTTCGACAAGTGTAATTAGATCAGGTACACTGGCAATTACTTTGTCTTCGAATCTAGCCATCAAATTTTCATTTTGAAAATCTATTGTCAACATTCTTCCTTCGACATCGATTATTACATGACCTCGAACAAAACCAGCACCAGTGTTCCGTTCTACACTGACTACTTTTCCATCGGAAACAACGATCCGTCCATGACCGGCTTGAGCGACTGCTTGAATGGCATTATTATGATTACTGAATTTAGCTTTTCCTATTCACAAATATTCTGCTACTCATTCATAAAAAATATCTAACACTTACCGAGAAACCAGGCTAGTGAGAGACTATGATGCACTGTGTATTTTTGTACTTGGTCACCTGTTAGCGGTGGTAGACAAAGTCCACCTCTAAGACCCATCTTCGTACATTCTTTTCTTAATGTCTCCTCAAGCTCTTGTGCATTTCTAATTGTCTCTTGTGTATACAACACCGTACGTCCAAGAACATCACACATACAAGTAGGTGTAACATTTTGACCTCGAATGAATAACAGTTTCTGATCGAGTCGAGGAAAAGCTCTTCCCATATTGTCACAATCGATACATGGTATTTGTTTGCTCGCTGCCACTAACAAACCACGAAACCCATTTGCACCACCGATTTCTCCGCAGAATACACATGTAACTTTTCTAGAGAGATGTGCTTCGATAGTGCTGATAGCCAACAGACATTCGTTACCACTCGGTAATTGCTCATATGATACGGTGGGTGCGCCCATGAAACCAACAATAGCGGCAAGATCCAATAACGGATGAAGAGAAGAAGGAGATGTTACACGCATCACACCAGGACAGTTATTCAACATTTCGAGACACATCAGTTTTGTGTAATAAGGCTCACCGCCACCACCACAACCTACAATATTATATCTCCTTTATCTATGTTTTTTTAAAAAGCTCGACTAATTCTTTCGCAGAGCGGACATTGTATAGAACAACTAATTGAAAGCAGACTATTATAATATGTGGAGCAATCCATTATTGTTGAAAGCCTAGGAGTCAGAAAACTTGGTGAAGATCACTGGATGGCACAAATGAATTACGAAGTAATTTGAAAGAAATGAATTATATAATGATCCAGTATTTATTAATTTCTATCAGTAGTTACGATAGGATCTGATATCCTAGTAGACCGATACATGTTAAATTTGAAAGATAAATTCAATTCAGGTTTCAAATTTCAAGAAAGGACACAGATAGATCGAGAGAGATGCGATAATTTTTTTAAAATTGAAACTTGAAACTTGAAGAGTAGTCTTTCAATTGAACTCAACTTTCAAGTTTGACACTATTGACTAGATCCTGGTAGGCTCTGATAGACCACACTGGAGCTTAATAGGCTTAATGCGACTTAGGAAAATTATATATACTTATATATAGAATTTATATATGCTAATATATTCTTAGAATAAGTCTCTTCCACAAAATATAAAACTTTTGAATTATTTTGTAATTCATTCGTACCAAGAACTTGTTAAAGTAAATCTCATTAGATGAGAATCCAAACTCGAGCAGAAATCTGACAGACATGTAGAAAAATAAGTGCAATAATTTACCGAGAATGCCAGCTCCATAAGCAATGTATTCGATATCAATTGGATCAATGATCCAATAACCATTGTCGTCAAATGTAGGTTGCTTGTTGATCATGCTCGTATATTTTAGTGGCTTAGATAATTGCGGTTTTCTTACTGGAAATTCTGGTAAGATTTGCTGTCCTCCGCATTGTTGATGATGTCCTTTCAATTTGGAAAGATCGAGCTGCCCGATAGCAGTCAATAGTACTCGATGTTTATATCCTCCCGGATAGTAGGCTAATGGCACTTGCTCTATGTCGACTAAGTGAACTGTATTTGGATGAGCTCCATTTTGTTCACATTGCTGTTGAACCAGTAATGTCAATCGATCGATTTCATGCTTTCGTTGTACTCCATTGTCGATAGATGATGGAACAAGGTCAACAATCGATTCAATGGTAGCACTTACTCGACAAAGAGTAGCACCCACAGCATTGCAGACTGCAAAGTGAGGTGGACGAATCATCTTCGAAAGAGAGAAAACAATCGGTACATGTGAAAAATAAGTTAACTATACGTTTGTGACACCGTCGAAAGCTTCTTTTGAATTCACAAGAATTGATCCGCCGCCGCACAATATGACTGGTATGGACTCTTGATTAGTTTTTATTCGATCGATGCCTCTACTAATTGTATTTCTTATATGATCAAGCACTTGTTCGACAATGAACGATGGTAATTGCACAATAGAATGGCCAATCTTAAATTCAAAATATAGCTATAAGTTTCTACAGAAATCAACACTCACCCGAGAAGTCAGTTTGGCAGCTAATGCTACATCTGTACCAGTGATAGTTTGACCACCAAATGCCAATGCATGAGTTACTAATTGGTAACCGACACTATCCGGACCAAAGCATATTGATCTAGTTTCCTCGTCAACATGTACAATTGTACCTCCGCCTAACGGTAAAGAAAGAACATCAGGCATGCTCGTATTGACCCGAATATCATCGACCAGATATACTTTCTATTCACGAAATGGTATTATCAATTAGAAATCTGTTCAAAGCTGTCTTACGGCATGTGCGTGTCTTGGCCTTCCATTGACTATCATTCCGATATCAGTCGATGTTCCTCCCACATCAAGCACTATCCCGTTTTGAATACCGGTCAGATGAGCTGCACCAACCATTGAGTTTGTTGGACCACTAGCAAATGTAAGAACAGGAAATCGAATACATTGATCGATGGATAACAAAGTTCCATTATTTTGAGTGAGAAACACAGGTATTTCAGGAGGAAGAGCTTGTTCTAATGCTCTCATGGTGCGAAGAGCCAGTGGACGAAGGCATGCATTGAGAATCGACACATTCTCACGTTCAATTAAGCCCAGGCCGGCAATTTCATGCGAAAGAGTGATGAATACATCCGATGATTCTTCACGAATGATCTGAGCTACACGTTGTTCTTGATCAGGTCGGCATGGGGAGAAAACGCCACAAACACAAAATGAATGAATATCAGATGCAAGAGCTTGACGAACAAGTGAACGAATTTCGTCGTCGCTCAATGAAGTGATGAGCGAACCATCAAAAAAATAGCCACCAGAGACAAGCACTGTCAAACCATCCACCTAAGTAAATAAAAGAAAACTTATGCTTTCTCCACGTGTACAAGCCAAATGTTTCTAGCACATTAATATCCGTGCCAAAATTAAAGAGAACTGGGTGTAATCTCGATAATTCGACAACGGCAGTAGCTAGCGACCTGCGATTTTCAGCAATTGAAGGAGAAAATTGCCGAATTGTTTCCTACTTAATATTGTATAAGATAAATTGTTGATTGTGATATTCGTATTAGATTGACGAACGTCAAATTTACACTTTTGCATTAAACTCAAATACATACTTATACATTATCTTATCTGGTATAATATTAAGTAGAAAACAATTCGGCAATTTTCTCCTTCGATTGTTGAAAATGACAGGTTCCTAGCTATTGCCGTTGTCAAGTTATTTAGTCTATATCCAGGTCTCTTTAATTTTGACGCAGACATTTGTTGAATTGTTATGTAAGTTATAATAAGAGTTCAATAGTGTCACGAATCATCAACTGTAAATTCATATAAAACTTCAAATATGTCACCTGCTTCTTCAAATCATCTGGCCAATTGGACATGGGTCGCAGTGAATGCGTCGCTGGTCCGCATAGACGTAGAGTACACACTCGAGCGAGGTTTTGCCGTTGAATAAGAGCATTGATAAAGTGTGTTGTACCAATCATGACAGCAGCCACTTCATTATCCTGAAGAACCTGTTGAATGGAGTGTAGAACACCCGAGAATACATCTGAAGTTGTCGTTGATTTGTTGGTAGCCACCACTTCAGGTGCTTTGTGAATCAACACATAAACAAAGAAAACAATGAAAATGTAACAAAGAAAAAAATGCTAGCAGCGCACCATGATCAGGTTGAATATGTACCAGGAC